ATTAAATAATGTTATTTAATATTTAAAATAATATTATCATATTATTTAATAATATTATTATTAAAAATATTTAAAATTTTAATATAATAAATTATAAATAAAAAAAATAATAATAATAATAATTAGGTCAAATCTAATGTTCTAAATCAGTAATTTCTTTTCTAAACTAATTTATCGATACCAAATGAAATTCAACAAAATTGTCATGAAAAAAAAACAAAAAACAAAAATTAATATTTCTTAACAATTGTAAGAGAGTAAATCGAACGGAATTAAATCGAAATGAAATAATCGAAATAACTACTAAAAGATCCTAGCAACCCTTCTAAAACTAGGTTGTAGAAGGGGGGTAAGTTTTATCTTTTAAATCTGACGTTATTTAAAGGTACCTTCCGCAATGCGGAGGTCCTTTTATCCTTTTGCAGAATATAAACCGCACCGTTGTTACGGCACTGTTCAAAGTATCCACCACCAACACCCACCACCCATCATCCACTACCACCACCACCACCACCATCACCACCACCACCACGCCCTGTAGATTCTCAAACGATGAGTCGGATTTATTTACCGTGAACGTTCGTTTCCGTAGCACCAGCAACAACATTGGACTATCTTTCTTTCTTTCTTTCTTTCATTCATTCTTTCTTTCTTTCTCCATTTTTCTTTCTTTTTATTCTTTTTTTACTTTTCAATGAACATGAGGAGAAGTTTTCGATGTTTCTCAAAAGCATCGACAAAAGATTCTCGTGAGAAGATGTTGGTGATGGGTAGAGAAGGAAGAAGAAGCACAAACGAAGGTTTCCATTTGATTCTTTACTCTGGATGAGCTACCAAAACCACGTTCGATTAGCTTCGATTCGTAAGAGAAATAGAAAAATAAGAAAAAGGAAAAGATAGATAGATAAATAGATAAATAGATAAATAGATAGATATATAGAATTGATGTGAGAAAATAATCACATTGGAATGTACAAAATATTAAAATTAGAACGTTATAATGTTAAATACTTTTTACTAAGAATATTATTACCATTACACACTATTATTACTATTACTATTCTTTATAATTAAAATTAATTAATTTCCTAAATAATATTGATCCAACAATTTTAAATATTACTATCAATAAGATACAAAATAAAATTATATAAATAATATTTTGTAATTTAAAAATAACATGTAATTTTGTATTCTGTGTAAGAAGGTATTTCTCTTTAAAAAAAAAAAATAAGTTTAAATGTCAAATATGTTTTCTACTTATATTAAATATAGAAAGTTAGTTTCTTCAAAAAAAAAGAATTAATAATTTCTCANAATAATATTTTGTAATTTAGAAATAACATGTAATTTTGTATTTTGTGTAAGAAGGTATCTATCTTTAAAAAAAAAATAAGTTTAAATGTCAAATATGTTTTCTACTTATATTAAATATAGAAAGTTAGTTTCTTCAAAAAAAAAGAATTAATAATTTCTCATTTACGTGAAAGTTCAAGTTATAAATAGATAATCTATCTAATAGATAGATWGATAGATGGTGGGATAGATATACAATTGATGTGAGAAAATAATCACATTGGAATGTAAAAAAATATTAAAATTAAAACATTATAATGTTAAATACTCTTTATTAGGAATATTATTACCATTACACACTATTATTACTATTATTATTCTTTATAATTAAAATTAATTAATTTCCTAAATAATATTGATCCTACAATTTTAAATATTACTATCAATAAGATACAAAATAAAATTATATAAATAATATTTTGTAATTTAGTATTTTGTGTAAGAAGGTATCTCTCTTTAAAAAAAAAATAAATTTA